GAAATTACGCATCTTATTTCAAAATCAACACAAACCGATATTTTAAATGTTTATAATCATTCACCTATCGTCGCAGCTGTTCAAACTCGTGCTATGAAATTACGAAATCAAACTTTAAATGATATTACCGAGATACCAAAATTAACATCTGATTCTCTAAATACTTCTACTGAAGAGAATCGCATTATTCCATTTTCAATTGAAGAATTAATACAAGCTCAACAGAATGATAATTATGCAAAAAATATTCTAAACAATATCAAGAAATATAAAAATTATATTATAAAAGATAATCTTTTAATGCGAAGATTAAATCGTCCCGTTCCTTATGTACCACAAGGTAATCTTCGAAAAACAATTTTACATATTTATCATGATACTGCAGCAAATGGTGCGCATTTCGGAAGAGATAAAACAATATATAAAATTAAACAACGTTATTTTTGGCCCTCAATGTACAAAGACATTAATAATTATGTTAAATCATGTATTTTATGTGCTCAATATAATCCTCGTCGACACAAACCTCCCGGTCGATTACAACCAACTCAACCTCCAGACGGCGTATGGCAGTTAGTTTCTATGGATTTTCACGGTCCTATTAATCCAACATCTCGACGTGGAAACAAATACATTATATGTCTTACTGATATTTTATCAAAATTCGTTGTTACAAAAGCAGTACGTGATAATACTGCATACACAGTAGTTAAGTTTCTTAAAGAAGATATTATTTCAAAATTTGGTACACCTCGATGTATTTTAACAGACAACGGCACTCATTTCACAGCAACAATTATGAATGAATTAATTAAGCAAATTGGATCAACGCATTTATATTCAACCCCATATCATCCTCAATCCAATGGTCAAGTTGAAAGATACAATTCAACAATGGATGCAAAACTTGCTGCCTTATCCAATATACAAAAAACAGATTGGGATGATCAATTACCATTTGTAACTTTTAATTACAATACATCGATCCATGCCGCAACCAAACAGATTCCATTCGAAATGATGTATGGTCGACCACCAATATTACCATTTGATTATCAAGACGATAATGTTACCATTCAACATGATGATGAACACGTGAAAAAACTTCATCAATTTTTAACAAAATTAAATGAACAAGCAAAAATCAATATTATTAAAAACCAACAACGCTATAAACAACATTACGATGCAAATCGTTCTGATCCATCATATAACATTGGTGATCTTGTTCTCGTCAAGACACCTCACATGTATTCAAGATTCAATATTCGTTATGAAGGTCCATTCAGAATTATAAAAAAGCTTGCACCAAAGACATTTATCGTACAACACATCAAGAAACAAACATTACATCGTCAAGTTACAACTGATGTGTTACTTCCAATCTTTGAACGCATTCACTAAGTTTAGGACCTCTTTCTAAAGAGATCCGAAACATAAATAATATGTCGAATCTTATGGAATAATTCTTATTATTGAAATAACGAAATTTACTATGATTTAGCATAGCGAAATCGGGGAGTGTGACTTTCCCCCATTCACTGGTTTTGAAGGGCTATCATATTCAATTTGGAAGATTATCCTTAATAATTAATTATTTCATTACACGAAATATCATTCATGGATATACTAATATTCATTTAATTATTCTTTAAAAAATTCCCATCTGATCAATGAGAATTAAAAAAGAAACACTATTTCGTACACCATCTTTATTGATATATAAATTAATGAATGATAAACGAACGATAAATTGCTTTATCTTATAAAGAAAAAAATAATAATAATATAGAAAAAACATATGAAAAAAGAAAAGACAAATAAAAGAGGATTTTGTTTTTTTTTGACTCAAAAAAACCATTGGTAGATTTATCTTTCCTATAACAATCCATTATTTTAACCAATCAAAAAATTCCCAATCTTGAGAATCGACAATTATAATTATATATTCTCTTCATTGTAGTCATGCTCTCTTCCGAAGAATATCAAGAAACAAAACGTCAATTAAGAAATATAACATCAACTGGAAAATTACGCCAAACACTCAGAAGATCATTACTGCACAAATTAAAAGAACATGACTATGCTACAAAATTTACTCCATTTGAACCATTACCACATACGCGATTTTTTATTAATCGAATAACAACTGAACCTGTATTTGACCAAATTATTAAAGCTGCAACAACATCTAATGAATTTACAATTGATACTGAATCAGTTAATGTTTATAAATCACGAAATGAGCCAGCTTTAATTCAAGTACAAATTATTTTACCACATGATTATTCAATTGCAGTATTAATAGAAACGCATCATCTTCCAAGTGATGATGATGTTACTTTTTTATTATTTAAAAAATTATTCCAAATCTTATTTTCGCCAGATAAAATAATTTATATCTGGGGATCCAGACGTGAACTTATTCCATTCACTCAATTCGGTTTATTTTCAGAAGAACAAGTGAATCACATCAAATCAATCAATTTACAAAATCAATTTAAAATCTTTTGGAAACAACAACATCCTCATCAACCATCATCCACAACAACAAATAATTGTTTATGTGAAACATGTTTGGGAAAAAATCCCGGTAATTCATGGTCTCTTCAGGATGCAGTCGCACATGAACTGAAGGAATATCTTTCAAAACAATCAACTCTGGAAAATTTCAATATTGGTTTAGACTTAAATCTGTTTGATATGAACGAAAAAAAAAAACAGTATCGTGAGCAACTTGTTACATATGCTTTACATGATTGTTTCTCTATGCATAAAATTTTAATTAATATGAAAAATAAAAATTTTAATTTTAGTTTAGAAATAACAATTAAGATTCCTTATGATATGATGGAATCGATTTCTTCAAGTGATGATGAAATTATGTTTTCACAACTTACACCACCTATTGAACGTCTGAAAAATGATCAAATATTAAATATCAATCAAGAAACTCAATTAATCTCATCACCTACATATCAGAATTCCAATTGGAAAATCAGTTCCACCAATGACAGTAAATCAGCCAATCAACGTCAAATACAGGCAACACCATCACAACCAGATCTTGCACATACCCAACATTCTCAATCTACACATGACCAAGAACTTCAACACAAGACGCAACAATTACCGGCTGAACAACGAAAACGTATACACAATAGAAGTTGCACACTGAAACAACGTCGTCGATATTATCAAAGTGAAATCATCATCAAGAACATTGACAAAAGATTTACAATCCGTGAAATCAAGGATATTCTTAAATATCAGAATGTCTCTTTTTATGCCGTCAATACTTCCATCTCATCCAGAACAAATGAACGAACTTTATATATTGGCATCCGTGATATAACAAAATTATCTTTATATGAACATGAAACAAAACAATTATTTACATCATCTTATTTCCGACAATTTCAACGTATGAAGCGATTAATATCACATCCTAATCACAAATTCAATCAGAACGTCCATCAGCATCACCATCACATATAAAAGAAAAAATGAACAACATCACATCTGATAATCAATATATATTTAATTACTTTCAATTACATTGATTAATTATTTATATAATACATCTAATTCATCATTTACATTATGTATTTAATTGATTATTTATATCTTTCCATTTAAATTAATCATATGCTCTACATTAACTGATCATTTCATCTGAACTGAATCACGTCTCATACTATTTGGTTTTCTATATTTTTTGGGAATTACTTCTCTTTCCAGTCACACGTGCTGATACAGTAAAAAAAAAAAAAAAAAAAAATTCATTTCGTTATTTTTGCTCATACTCTAGTCTTAATATATGTATTTCTATGCATCTCGTGTGATTATTCTCACGTTTCAGATATTATTGTTTTTTCTCTATGTGTGACTCTTTATGACAAGCAGCATTTGTTTTGTATCTCGTCATTTTCATTTTTTTGGTTCTCGTTGAACCTTATATCATTGTTATTCCTTTCTATAGTTCAACACACGTTGTTATAGCTTTCGTTTTTTTTTTCTCTCTTCGTGTTTTCTTCATTGTGAAACTCATTATATCTTGATTATTTTCTACACTCATTTCATTTATTTTATTTTCTCATTAACAGTTATATTTTGTCGTTCACTATATATATATATATATATATTGTTTTTGTTTTGGTGTAGTGTTTATCTCGTATCTATTGACATGAATCATTTCAAAATGTTGATAGAACACTTTTTTGAGCAAGGGAGAATGTTAGCGTGAGATGTCACACGCATACATCTATATATATGTTATATCATTTTATCTTTCTTTCTCGTTATTTACTTCATGTTTTGATTGTTTTTTCCTTTTCGATATATATATATACGAAGAGGTATTATTACAATTTAGAGGAGAATAAAGATAGTAAAGAAAACACTAACAGATATCAATAATAAGTAAGTTTAATATATGAAATGAAAAATTAGTAAAAGTACTTTGAAGAGAATCTTATTGATCATGTTTACGAGAATTGGTCAAAACGTTCTAGATCATATATTCAACATCTATTGAAATAAAGGTTAAAAAACTTCAAGATATAAGTTTGAATATCGTGAAAAAATAAATCGAATGATTGGTAAAAATACTTTATTATATTTCGTCAATTTTTACAAAAATAATATATTGTTTGTTTTGAAAAAATATACATGTAGCAACTTAATAACAAAAACAAATAGTAACTTCGATTTTTTTGTCATTCGAATAAATAAACAATATTTATCGTTATCTATTGGTGATTGACTTTTTAAATATTAGTTTTTCTTTTCATTTAATTGATTATTTCTATAAGAGAATAAAACTTCACATTTGCTGAATTAGATTTGTGGAGATAGATTATTGAATCTATCGAATAAATTCTTATTAAGAGTGAATATTAAAATTTTTTTTTATTTCATTTATATTATGAAAATTTCTGTTTTTGAACTCTTTTTGTATTGCTGTTAATTATAATTAAAAGAATTTTCATCATTAGATTTTTGTGTGTAAGAAATTTGTAATTGTGATCTACTATCTATTGTGAATGACTCAGCTCATCATTTCTAACTAGATTCTACTGATGCACTTTTTGAACGTCATTTTTATAATTAATAGGTTGATTAAAAAAATAATTACATAGGAAAATCAAGCGTACTTAACCACACTAACAGACCTAATAAAATCGAAACCTTGATTCAATTCTGAGAACTTCTTAAGTATTTAAAATGTTCCTGTATTTTCGTAATGGAACATTTTCTGGATTACAGATAATTAGTACATGACATTCTCTATTAAGTTTTCTATAAAACAGTCAACATAATACTTAGTAGAAATCATTACTCATATTACACTGATACTAAATAAATATAAATCTTAAAATATGACCAATTTATAGAAAAATATTCACACAGTGCATTTAGAAATAATCATTAAAAGACAAGCGTATTGGTTTGATCAGTCAGTAGATCATTGAATCGAAAGAAATCTTCCTATAGAAAACTACATAATATTTTGATTACAAAAAGCCTATGTTTAATAGGAACCTCTTTAAAGAAAACTTAGATTGATATTGTAACTAATTTTTTTTTCATTTATTTTGATATAGCACAGATACCGATCGTTAGGAAATGTCTTAATGATGACGATAAATAGCATCATCTATATACTCGAGACACTTTTTAGTCCAAAATCTTATATACTGTATGAAAAAGAATAATCTTTTACATTGACTACTGTTAAAGTTATTTCGGGCTCGTGCTGAGACTGCAGATGGCGCGTACAAGTGCATTCTTTAATATTGGTTCGCTATTATGTCTATACTTCATTTGCTCTGAGTACTTACTAATTGTTCTGTAGAGGGTGTGGGTGTGGGTGGGTGTAGGTGTAGGTGTAGGTGCGCATCTTCAGCTAAATTACGCGCACACCCCCACCCTCTTTTGTGATATCGCATGAAGAAATTCTTTAGCTTGTTGAAGGAGGTTGAATGTTAAAGGGCCGAAGAAAAAGATGTCGAGAATGTCGAAAGTTTCAAGATCTCGTTATGAAAAAATATTGATTCCTTTCTCTTTTAATTGTTCATTAAAGTTCCATTGATTAGCTATTACTTTTCTCCAACACATCATTGTACGAATGAACATTGCAGCACATCGAAAATATAAAAACGGTATTTGTACAAAGAACATAGTCGTGGCCTTGTTTTATGCCCATCTATCTATTTTGCTTCATTTAAGGTATTGAAACACATTTTTTCACTTTTATCGTGTGATTCTTTGATTGTATGATATTCATCACTACAAGTGGCATATATTTTCTTGTGTTCAACAAAAAGTTATCATATACTGCTGCCAGATGGTTTCATTTACAAAACCAACAAACGAACCTTCTGCAAAATATATTAAATTTGTAAAACCAAGAACTTTACAGTACATATGAGTGTGGATGTGGGCTGTGGTTGTGTAGCTGCAACCACACTCACACTCATCTGTTCGACAGTTTTTTTCAAAATTTTTTTCTTTGACCTTTTTAACACATACCTTGAAGTATAATCCTAGTCGGTATTTTATGGGTCAATTTATCACCATTTGCTAGATAGTAGATAGGTAGTCTAGGGAGGAACCGCGTGCTGTATACTTGAAGATAATTGTGGCTGCTTGACAGCACGTCAAAGTTCCTCTCTGCAATTTTTAAAGTATTTTTCTGTAACTTCAAAATACTTTGCTGTATCTCATAGTACTTTTGATATCATTTTACCATACTTTATTGTACTTAAAGTTCACTGTTCGCCCCTTGTAGGTAGCGCAAAAAAGTCGATCTGGACTGCCTTTACTATAGAACATCTAAATGCACTAAAATTTTCAATTTGGTGATTTTAGATCATGACCTTTCGAAGGCATATAGAAATATGAAAAATATACATTATGAGCAGTGCTGTGGTTTCTTGGTCCTCTCATGAACTCTCTTAAAACTCATTACTCTACTTTCTCGAGAGAGAAAGCTATTCCTTGGGAATAATGGGTTTTTATAAAGAGAAATCAAGATAAAGAATTTTGAGGAACCGATTACAGATTCGAACTCCTCGATCCCGATTATCTTTGATCAAATTTTATAGAAAATCATTATTTCCCCGGAATACCCCTCCCTTATGAAGAAATTGGCGTAATGAAGTTTGAGAAACTGATTATAGATTCGGATTCTTTGACCCCGATTTTCTTTGGTCAAAGTTTATAAAAAATCGTTATTTCCTCAAAATACCCTTCCCTTATCGAGAAATTAGGGTAATGAACTTTGACAAACCGGTTACAGATTCGGATTCCTGGACACCGATTATCTTCGATCAAATTTTATAGAAAATCATTACTTACCCAAAATACTCTTCCCTTATCCAGAAATTCGGGTAATGAATTTTTGAGTTACCCGTTACTTGGTAACTGTTGTTGTAAGGATAGCTGCCCTGTCCTACTTTTATTCTACTAGGAATGATTGGTTGTTGTATAAAGATTGTATTTTCCATCAATGATTATCAATAATAGAAAATACAATGTTGAAAACTACTACGCAGGATTTTCCTATTGTTGCAGGGCCCCATGAGAAGCTTGAATAGTGCACTATATATTATGTTTGCAGCTTATATAGCTTCTGTTGGATTAGTATAATTTCAATATAAGTAGAAATTTTAACTTGAAAATAAGCAAAAGCAAAGGGATGTGAATTGAATTACCTTGAATTACATAAACGTATGTTAAAGTATGTTAAAGTACGGTAAAAGTACCTTAAGGTACATGAAGTATAAAGTATCATGCTTCCCCCTTGAATAATAATCATAAGATTATTATCAAATATTCTTTGGTTTCTCAATTTTCACAACTTTTCCCCTGCTTGTTCTAATCTATAAGGACTCAGATTTAGTATACTTTTAAAAATTGGAGTGAATAAACGATTTCAGATATCATACTGCATCTTAATAAAATGTTCGTATCGATCCATAGGTATTCATGTTAGTATGATGTGTGTGTTACACTTACTTTGAAATTAATAAATTGTCATGAATAAAGAGTGTGGGTCTGGGAGTAGATGAAGAGAAGATCCACATCCACACATCCTACTCAAAGGCTAGTCGAGCTAGAATGTTTTTGAGCACGTCGTTAAATAGCTCTTGAAATGTAGATTCATGATGGGTATTTCTGGTCTTTTCCAAAACCTGCTATAACCAATGAGAAATGAAAAGACATATTTCTAGGAAGTTTTGCATCGTCAATCATGAATATTAAAGCAGTGAATCAATGGGATAGACACCAGGAACATCAATGAAACTGAGAGAAAGCCAGATGCCAAAGTGAAAGTGTGTTCAACAGAAAGAAATATTAAACTAGGCTGTTTCATGCCTCATTTTGAGCTCGATTTTATACAGAAATCTCTGCAGTCAGTAGAACTGGTTGACAGAATATTCTTTGAAATTTGTCCAATTTCCTTCTACGTAAACTAAAGTTTTTCTTTGCTTTTATTACTTGATAAAGAGAGAAATCAATATTGTCAATTATGCATTGAACTGGATAGTGACACCGACATGCTTGGGCATAATAGTAAGTCTTGGCAAATGTCCCCCTGCATTGATCTCTGGGCCACCATCACCAAACGTGACATGTTGCATCAATCTCACTGCAATGACCTTCAACTCAAATCTCGCTAAATCTTGTCCAATGCATTGACGATGGCCACCACCAAATGGGATGAATGCATATGGAGAATGATTCTTGTCTTCACCTAAAAATCTTTCGGGATAAAATAAATTTGGATCAATTGACCAATGACGAGTGTCTCGTGCCGGAGGATCAAATGGAATAAGAACTTGATCGCCTTTGAATAATTGAGCTCCACTCTCTGGCAGACGATCGTCGATAGTTAATGTACGAACTGTTGCTTCTACCGGTGGCGAATATCGAAGTACTTCATTGATAACACTATCCAAATAAATTAGAGAATCGAGTTGATCTACAGATAAACTGTGTTGAATGTTATGAGTCGTCAGTTCTGCTTTGATCTTCTGTTGCACACGTGAATGTTTACTCATCAAATGAATAAACCAGGATAGAGCGGTTGAAGTTGTTTCGAAGCCAGCCACCAGAAAGGTAACCATTTCATTTAACAGTTCTCTTTGAGATAAACCTTGGAAAAAAAATAATCTCATTCAAATAGATTTTTGCTTTATCGAAAAGATTCTCTTATTTTAACCAATAAGCCAAGATATTTTTATCTAGTGAACAGTCAGAAATGCACGGATTTACCTTTTTTGTCCTCCTCATGTTTGGTTGCTTCTAGTTTTTCGTCCGCTTGCAACGAGCTTATCAATGAAGCAATTAAAGATGTTCTCTTTCGTTGTACCAGTGACTCGGAATTTTCACTCAATTCTTGTTCAATCATTCGATACAAATATCGTTCAATAATCGCCTTTGCTCGTCGATGTCGACGACTCAATTTCAAATAAACATTTGTTACAATCGGTGGCGAAAAAAGAACTATTTCCATTGTACTCAACAGGTCTCGTAATGCCTCCGTAAGTTCATTATCAGACCTGTTTCCATTACCATTGAGTGTCTCCAAATCATAATTAAATGCAATTAATCCAAAAATAAGAAGTAAAAGATTTTGACATTGAAGAACAATATCGACGTAAATATGTCCAGCTGGACTGAGACGCCATTTGGCCAATAGTTTATCGACACAATCAACAATCAAATGCAAATTAGAAGTTATTTTACCACGGCGAAATAATGGCAATATTATTGATGCATGCCGTTTGTACTTAGCACCTGTTCTACGTCATCAAACAATTATTCTCTCATTTAATCAATAAAACTGACCTTTTGTACAAATTAATGCATCAGGTAGAAGAAGACTCATTTGCTGAATAGCCATATCCCCTTGATCGTAGATTTTTCGATTGCTAAATATATGTTGCACATCGCCAATACCACTGACGATAATAACACGGGTAGGACCAAGCCAAAATTGAAATATGTCACCAAAACGAGCATGAAACGCTAAATAAACTTGAGGAAGAGATGCACCGCCCAGTAGTAGACCTGATTGAATCAAATTTCCAAAGAGAAACTGAGGTGGTAAACCAGGCAGAGGTCCACGAAGAGTAAAAAATTTCAATTTTGCATAAACCACCAGTAAAACGATAACAACGACAATCAGTATGAGAAACATTTTATGCACGTGCTCTAGACTAAATGTCGAGAAAAAAGAAAAAAGTGACTCGAATCGAGCACAAAAACGCATGCATACTTTTCGTTTCTCTTTTCTTTCTTTCTTTCTTTCTTTCTTATGTTAATATTACATATAGTAATGCATTTGCATACTGTCAGTATATTACTGATTTGCATCAATGAATGTTATTACAAAACTAGTAATTAACGTGTGCGTCATAAAGAAATGAGACCATTGATATTTCATGTTTTTCTCGGCCAGCTTTCATGGTAAAATGTTGTGTTTAGTCTCAACAGATTTCCCCTTTAGTTCTCTACAAAATCACATAAGAACGTTTGCTCTACACTTCTACTTAGAAAAAAATGACCAATCAACCCTTCGCGTTTTAACATGTAGAACTTTCTAGAAGTGTTCTTCTGAAAAAACTTAGATACTTATCCCTAGTGAAATATCTTGTAAGCAAGATCTTATCAAGATCTTTAGAACGTATATCAGTTTTATATATCTTTGTCATATCTGATATATCTGCGTCAAAGATCTTGAAAAGATCTGTTCAAAGATTCTGAGATGTCAAGATCATGAAAAAACATAGCAGTCGTGATTATCTTTTCTCAAGTTCGTGAATAAAACAAATAGCGACATCATCAATTTATTTAAATATTAAAATAATATTCTGATAGCTTAAACCTAATTCTCTAAAGTTATTCACATCAATTTGTTAATGTGGGCTTATACTTTAATTTTGCAACAGTAGGGATATTTGTCAACCGATGAAATTCAAGTTATAAAGAACAATGAGAGAAAAAATAGAAAATCAAACAAAGTTTTTTTCGACTCAATTACTATGTATACGTGAAAGACTAATGTTTTATCATAAAATTAATGATGTTAGATTACGATACTGAATCTTTTACGATTCAAATTTTGTAAAAGTAAGATTTGTTCGAAAAACGACAAAATAAAACATTTTTAGATTTTAGTTTTGGATTGATGTTCTTTACTATAAATTTTACGGTAGCTCTTTTTTCTATAATAATTTTTCTAAACAGTTTAGACATCAGAAGTGCTAAAAATTGTTCTTTTCTAGATTTATAATTATAAGTTTCTAATTTATTAGATGAAGATTCCGCACATACATAATTATCGATTTGATTTTAACATAAACATCAGCTGCCGTGAAATTCAGATCGGTTTCTAATGATAGCATCATCAGTAACAATGATTATACATTTTCCAACAGCTGCTAATAAAGATCAACGAAAGCGGCAGTTACAACCATAAATTTTAACCATTATGAAAAGATAATGCACAAAAATGAATAAGAAAATAGAAAAACAGCAGTTTTTAGTTGTACTTTTTAGGTCGCTCAATTTTTGTAAAAACTTTTATATTTTTATTTTGTAATAATTATTCATAAAAATTAGTGTTTCTTGTACGCTTGTAAAGCTTTTCTGTTGCACTATTTTAATGGAAACTAAGTGTGCACGAATTGTTCAAATAAGTATTTCTTTGTATTAAATAAATACTAGGCAATAAGATATTGGTCAACGATCTTGAAAATCTTGATTATCAGTAACCAAGATATAATTATTCTGTAGAACGGATCATTAGAAAAGATTAGAAAACATTGGATGATAGACATAAGATCGTGAATATCTGCTACCAAGATCATGTGATCATTTTGTACCTAAATTTTCAAGATCTACTCACTTTTCTGTACCTTGTATCTTGACCAAGATCTTGGTTACAACATGTTTCACTAGGGATTCTACCATTGAACAATTATGTACATGAATTAGAGAAAGTTTTTAGGATGTGGGTGTGGGTAGAGATGATAGCAGAGGATCTACTTACGCACCCACACCCACACCTATTCACACCCTATAAGCCCATATTCAGAAAGAGCATAAAATTTTGGTTCTAATCTATAGGTTCCGATTCGTCTGACATACTTTCATGTGGGCCAAAAATGAGCAAACATTTTGTCTCAAAACTTTCGACTCGTCCATTATTACCAAGTGAAAATCATTAATCCCATTGTTTTATTGTTGACGAATGACACAAATTGTTGACAAAGTTGCTTGTTTTGTGCAACAATATTAAAACCAAAAGCCATAAAAAATTTTAATTGGAACTGGTACCTAATCATAATCAGAACGAGGACCAATCTGTGCCGATAATAAGGTCACGACCTATGTGCATCTTCTATTGGTTCATTTGATGGGTCAGCATTCGGTCACAACACGGTTAAACATTCTGCCCTCATGACCTATAGCAGCTGGCTACTCACTCCTTCCTCTATTCATTCTTTCTTCACTTTTCTTTGTTTCCTCTCTCATATAGAAGCTTGTGTTCTGTATGAAATCGACAGAACTGGAGTGACGGAGTAGTGTAGTGAACATCGTAAACCGAGGATAACGGTAACGCTATTGCTCTAGTTTTTCAAAGTTGATCAACAACAAAAAAAAATAAATACTGCAATAGTGACGAAACATTCTATTCATCATTTTCGTTACATAGACCTAAACCGAAATATTGATTTTCTAGATTCCTAACTGCCATCTCGGGACAAAATCGATGGAACCTAATATTATTGAACCGCCTGCGCAACCAAGTGAGCTCTGAATGACTCCATTTCTATATCTAGTAATGAAATAAAATCGTTTTGATTTAGTTGTTATTTTTACAAGTAGTGAAACCAAACGATTCATAGGGCTTATCCTCGACATCAATTATCGGGTTAAAATGATATATTTTTTTATCAAATGAATTTTATGAAATTTTCTTTCGTTTTTTTGTGATAGAATTAGAAAACCAATTTTATTTTTGCAAATATGTACCTCGTCAGCGACGTATTGAAATAGCTAATTCGCTTCTTTTAACTGAACGGTACGAGTTTTCTTTTATTGAAATTCAAATGCAAATTAATTTCACTTTTTTTCATCTATCTGCAGAGAAATCAAAATTTGGTTTCAATCTAGGTTTGTATATATCTTTGTTCTTATCTGTTATGCTTAATCTTAAAAGAAAAATTCTTTTATTGAATAGAAGAATGCAATGGAAAAAAAATAATATCGGGTGTCCCAGGAATAATGAGCCTCCCAGTATTTTTAAGATTTCCTGTCTATTATCACTGTAAGTAAAGCTCTCATTATTATCAAAAGATAGCGCTTAAAATTCTCTACAAAA